TATGAAAATACAACATTTATTTCAATATTAAAATATTTATTTTTTCATTACTTTAATATTGTTATATTATTGCATCCTAGAGAAACGAGTATATACCGTCCGACCAAAAATAAAATATATCCCTGATTTATTGAAAATTCAAGTATTAAATAAAAAATCAATTGTATTAAATTGATAGAATGCAAAAATTTAAATTATTTTTTATTGTTATAATCTTATTTTTTTTTAGAAAATAATTCATTCACATATTATTTTTACAGTTTGATTATGAATATATAACTAAATATGTTTGCATTTATAATTTGTACACTATTTTAAAAAATTTAACAGATACCATATACTATTTTCTTTAATTTTTTCGACATATAATAAATAATGCGAATATTTAATTACACAATATAACATATATTTTTATCAAAAATATACTTATTTAATTGTATATTTTAATATTTTGGAATTGAAAGTTCCCTCTCTCATAATTTAGTACTTATCATTTATTTAAATTAAATTTAAACTAATTGTAATTATTTGTATTTGTGACATTAAATTATTTATTTTATAAATCATTTAATAATACTAAATCGATAATTTTAGATATCTATATAAATATTCATAAACTAAATAAATATAAACATTAGTTACAATTTTAGTAAGCTTAAAGAAAAAATATTTTCCTTTGCTTTAAGAACAAAATAGTAAATAACATGATGTCTACTACATTATTAAAAATGAAAAACATTTTAATAATTAAAGATTTTTGATTTTCCAAACGCAAGATTATATTTTACCGAAATTAACTATTTTTTATAATTGAAATCTTATTTGAATTTGTAAATGTTTATAATTAATTATAAGTAAATATATATGCATAGTTTATGTAACATATAATCATGAATAATATATAACTCTAAAAAACATATTGGTTTAATAAAAATTTTACATCGCTAACAAAAAAAATCCTGCATTATATTCACCACACAATTTTAAACTGTATTCTGCATTATTAAAAAAAGGTCTGCGAAAGTGCATTAACGTTAATATTACGAAATAAAGACATACTTCTTTTGAATTATGTGGCAATCGTATTACATCTAGGTATGTAACAATTATGTAATTATTTTATTATAAAATGTATGCTTATTATAATATTACGTGTTATTGTCAACACATTCTAAACAGTGATATTAATAGTATTATATGAATTCATGAAAAAAATTGAGTAAACAGAAAAAAAATAGATTAAATAGAAATAAATAGAAAAAAACAAAAATAGGTATAGAATCAGAATTAAAAGAAAATAGAAGAAAGTGGGTTAAGAAAAGACTAATTTTTTCATATTTTGTAATTCATATTTTATTAATTACTAAATCTAATATTAATAAAATAGGTCATTGGTGACATAATCTCATAAATATTGGCTGATTTTCAGAGTTTCTTCGACATGGACTTTAGTTATTTCTTTATTTTTTATTTTTTTTCATTAAGTCACAGCATAATCTCTAAGAGTAAAATTGTACTGAGATTAATGTACTTACATGAAAACGTTTGTGTAATAAAATTCCCTTTACTTTTTGGAAAATTTAGAAGCTTGAAAAACATGTAATAAAATAATGAAACGTTTAAATCCAAATCTAAAAATTTGTATTTTAATAAAATTGACAATGAATATTAATTACTTAACTATAATACTAGGAAATTTTTAACTAAATAAAAAGTATACAGATGGGATAAATCTTATTTTCGTAAAATTTTGAAATCTATTTATTTTCAAATTGTTAAAATGCCATTTTTAATTTAAAATTATTGATCAAAATGCAGTTTCTCTGAAAAAAATTAAATTATATTTTGTATCTAGTTTTTATATAAGCTCATAAGTAATTATTTTCATAGTTTATTATTTTTCATTCCAAATTAAAAATTACTAAACATCATATCATATTTTTAAAGCAATAATTATTATCTATATATTTAATTTTTTTAATTCATTGAGCCTGTATGAAATGTAAACAAAAATAATATAAAAAATATTTCAAATCTTCGAAAAAGCTAGGACCAAACAATAACAAAGTTTAAATTAATTTTAAAAATACTTATGTTATAAAAGCTTCAGTAGTTTTTTATTTTAAAATAAAGTTTTATGTATTTAAAAATGTTTTTGCATATATCAATATAATCGTTTGCAGATTTACAGCTATGTTAATAAAAAAAAACTTAAAAATTTTCAAATAATAAAGTAATTTTTTTATTCATTTAAATTTTAACTTATATTAAAAAGTAATTTGTAACACCATTATGAGTAAAAGTCGTTTAATAATAAAAAAAATTGTTTAATGGGTTTATAATGTTCAAAATTGAATATAATTTCAAATTCTTTTGCATGCATTTATTTTTTTACTTTTTCCAAAAATAGGTTGTTCATGATTATATGCTCTAAATCTCATTCAATTTATGTAAGGGAAATTAATTTGTTATGTACAAAGTTTAAAAATATAATGTACATAGTTTAAAAATATTTATATGATATAAAAAAACTCTATTTATATTATTTAGTAAATATCTTAAATATTAATTATATATATTTCATATATATATATATATTAATTGAGTCAGAAACATACATATTGACTATGTTTGATATAGCTTTCATTTTCCACTATTTACACAATTATGACTTTATTTATAGAAATTTAATTTATGGTACCATTACATATAATTATTAACTACAGAAAATATTTATAACAATTAACCAATTACATTACATATATTGAATGATAATTATTTGTGCAAGTGTTAATCAACATAACTGAAATAAAATGAAGTATATGTATATATACACAAGGATTTATATAAAAGCATATCTAAAATATATTAATTGAAAATAGAGTTAAATTTTATCATCATAGTCCATTATATCAGATACTATAAAATATATAATTGTTCAAAAATTAAAATATATTCAAATATTAATATTATATAGCATAAGTTAATTTATTAGCTTTTAAGTGCATATTATAAATCATGATTTAAAGAGACTATAACTATATACAATTTTAAATATTTTAATTTAGTATTAAAAAATGCAGTTAGTTGGTTGCAATTCTCTTAACAAATCTCCAACAAATATTAATAAGTAAAAGATATTTACACATTCATTTTGTATCTTATGTAATTAAAGAAAACATAATTATTCTTCACGGAATTAAAAATATCATTGAAACACATATAATGTTTTACACTTATATATGCAATATATTTTTTTTATTTTTAATTTATATTTTAATATTAAATTATTTAATTAAAAAAATTTATAACTAGAAGTTTCAACACCATTTGTTTTATTAATTTTTCATCTATCTTTTTTGAACTTATTTCTATGCATTTAAATTAAAAATAATAGTAATATATTTCTTATTGTATTTCAGTTGATTGACTGATTCTTTTCGCTTGTATTAGTTCATTCAGAGGGCAATCATTTCTACGCGTGCGCTTCGAATTATTTTTCTTTTATACTTTTCTTCTTCATAATATTTCATATATATATATATATATATATATAATTTCATAAATATATATATATATTTATTCAAATTTTTATCTTTCATAACTTTAGTCAACGCTAGTGATTCTCTATCTTAATACTTTTTCAAGGAGCGAAGACGCAGTGGTGCAAGGAGTAAAAGAGATGGCGCATATGCGAAAGTCGAAAGGAGCCGACACCTCGCGAGCTAAGCCGAAGGCTTGTTCGAATCGCAAGTCCCGCGTCAGTGTAGAAACCGCGTTCGCGGTCCACGGTTCTCGATTTCCGGGGCCGACGATAACGAAGACGTCGGAACGCGGGAATTTTTTGCCGTCCTTCATACAGATACAGGCAATATCACGGCTATACAACAACGCAGCATGAATACAGGCTTGTGAGATCATAGTGTTACCATTCTGTGCTTATCCACACCTGCACCAGACATGATTTATTTATTAAAAAAGAAAGACTGGTTAACCTGCGGTTTTCTATTTCTACCTCGCCGTTAACATTCTTTATCATAGTTTTGAGTGAATCAAGATACAGTGATAAATAAAAAATTTTTTATTCAATCAGTCGCTACTTTTGCAGAGTATATAACTAATGCATTTATTACAACTTTATATTGGTCAACGCTTAAAGAAGATTAAACAGAACACGTGCTCCGTGCATAGCAAAATTTACCGTTAATGTCAATATGAAAATATAAATATTATTGCTGTCTACTTAAATAAAGATATGTGTATACATTATGGCTTAATGTTAATTTTGTGCAATATACATAAGAAGATAAGAAAATATGAAAAAAATTTGAAATCATTAAATACCTTTTGGACAAGCATGCAATAAACAGCTGTCGCTCATATAGATAGATGACAGTGTCAAACAGAATGTCAAGTACAGTTGATAAAATTATCTAGTCAAAAAATTGAAGATTACTGAAAGTCATATTGATGCGATAATTGAGTCTGGTCACTGTGTTTACATACCATATCGTGCGTCAGGAAACCTCGCTCTGCGTAACGAAGCAAAGGACGACATGAAAAACAGTTGATTATATATTTCTTATTAACCGACATTTTGTTTATAACGTGTTAAGTTTATCACATATTAAATTTAGAATTGTTTAATTAAAAACTCCAAACTGACCAGATTTATCGAAATTATTATATACCATAATTAAAATATATAGTGCACTCGACAAACCCATAAACTCACAAACGCTGTATTTGTAACGCCATTATCATCGATACTACTTCATTTATAAATATTACAAAACATTTTAATAATTCGTATATTGAAGTTAAATATCCAGTAAATTCGGATAACGTTTTTATTGATTACAGTTCTTTATAAAAAAATTAATAGTATAGTGCAAGCACCATATTATAAGAAATTGAAAGAAGTATAGAAAGTTTAATTGTAAAAGAAAAAGTAAAAAAAAATATAGTTTTCTTTACTTGGTATATTTCAATACAACTTTGGAAATAAAATAGTTTATTAAAAATCTAACGGTTAGATATATTTAATTATTTGTAACTTTCATATTGTTCATAAAACGCTTAGTTGTAACCACTTGAATAGTGTAATATATAACGCATGTATACGAAATACACAAAAATATAGATAAAGAGAAAAAGTGAGTGAGTGAGATAGGTTTTTGGTTAAACAGTGAGTTAATTAAAATAGAAAGACTACAAATTTTAACAAAAATTTCACCAATTCTGCGCAGTATGTACCCTTGGTACCGGGAGAGCGTAGCTGCTGCTGCAGCCGCCGGTCTTGGCGGTCCTGTAGGAGTTGTCGGTTCTGGATTCTGCTCGAGTGCTCCCGGACAAGGTGGTACTACCATTAAAACGGAAACCGGCTATTCAGATTGTATGCTGGCTCTCGATTATGTGCAAAGCAAGGTAGGATTATCATATAAATATCAGAGTATACGAATATATTAGAGAATAAATGATTTCAATATAAAGGTATTGATCCGATTATTAAATAATTATTAAATAGTATATATATTTAATTTATTTTTATAGCATAGCGACGATGCTCTTAATATATATATATATATATATATATATATATATATAAATACATATGGATTCCTTCTCTTACAATTATACACGTATACACATAATTCGTGCCGTAAATCGTTCATTATATATTTTACATTTATATATTACTTTAAAATTGCGTTTTTCCCTTACAATGAAATTATGATTTTACATGCTTCAGATTTATTGTTTTAATATTGTACTAAAAATATTTTAATTGAAACGATATTAATCATAATAATAATAAACTTAAAATAATTTAATTTTTATATAAATATTTTTCATCGTCATATATATTATTACATATATCCACTTTAAATTTTTGTATCTAAAAATTAATATAAACAGGTTTTCTATTATACTACAAAACACATGATTTAATTATAATATGTATATAACATAAATATTTTCTTAATTTTAATATTGATATGTCTAACTCATTAAAAATGAGATTGTGTGATTTAAACAATTCAAAAACTTTTGACTAGCAAAAAATTTAGCTTATGTACTTTAAACTATTTTAACTAAAGATTTTAAATAACTATGCATTTTATAGATAAAGTTCTTCAATTAGTTTAGTTGAATAAATAAAACATTTCATTTATTATTTTAATTAAATATTGTGTAAAGATTGTAATTGATATTCTTATATACATATTTTTAGAAAAATTCTAATTTTCTAAAGTCAAAAGTTTATTATATAACAAAACTATTAATAATTTAATAGAAAATTCTTTATTTTTAATACCGATTTCTAATTTAGTAGAAATACTATCATTTACTTCATGTTATTAGACTTTTAAAATTATTTTAAAGGTTAGCTTTAAATCATTAAATCATTAAATCATTAAATCATTAAATCATTTAAATCATTTAAATTAATTTTTAAATCATTTAAATTAATCTTTAAATCATGTAGATTAATCTTTAAATTATTTAAATTATATCTTTATATTTCATACATTGATTTTGTTAAAGGTATAATCCATTTAATAGTTATCAGTTTTATATTAAAACTTTATTTTTCACTTTTAAACAGTACAGCATTTTCCAGGAGAATCAGCATATGTTGCATATAATCTGTATATGATGTAATCTATACGTTTCAATAAATTTTTTCTTGCATTTATAAATATGCGATAAATGAATACTCTTCATATTCTAGCAATCTTTAAATCAATTTTATTACCAATGTAATGCAAATTCTCTTTCCATATCATTATACCAAATATGTACAAAATATATTATATATATAAATATATTAGTTATTCATAATAGTAAGTATAGTAATTAAATTGGTAGGTAGTGCTAATTATGTTAAGATAAGCCAGTAAAATTAGTTTTCTTTAAATATTTAAGTAATATTTAAGTAATATTAAAAATATCTATTGAACTTAATGGCACCATTTGAAATTAACTAATTTAAAGAACCTATTAGTAAATAAATCTATTGGCAGTGGTTATGCAAACTTAATAACTATTGTGATATTGTAATTTGTTCATCTTATATCTCCATCCTTTACTTGATAAATACCCGGTTTAAATTGCTGATTAAGTATTAAATGTTATTAATGCTTGTTTATAAATTAGCAGATTGGGCACAGCTGGTTTACCCTATATGTTATCTGTGAAGAAATGTGAAATATATAAATAACATATATAACTTATGTGTTTATCCTTCAGTTAGGAGGCAAGAAAAAAAACCAAAGAAACATAAACTCTCTACAGACGACAATCTGTAAATTATATCTATTATTATAATATAGTTGTTCTATAGATAACTAAATTAATTATACGAACTTAGTCTAAGATTTTGAATATTCTATATTTTAATGATTGTTTTGTTATGCTCTTAAAGAAGCGCGGTATAAAATTATTGTTTGATATCGTAGCTATTATTTATTTCTTTCTACCCTATTCTCAGTTTATAGGATACTAATATTTTAATAAAATTACAGACTAATATCACGTAATAAATTATATGGTAATACATTATCATCTATATATGTGACAATATATTTTTGGGTTTTAGAATTTTCCAAATTTTATATTCATTATTATTTTTTTACTATATTTCAAAAATGTTCGTATACTTATAAAGATTTATATTCTTCAATTTTTTTTTAATAATAGGTTTTTTTAATATTTTTTAAGATAATTTGAGTATTAGTACACTTACAAATATCGAATATCTATTTTCAAATAAAAATATAAGAATGCAATAATAATATTGTTCAGCCTTTTTTCTTCTTAAAATAAAAGAAAATTTTAGTAAATTTACAAAAAGTATTTGAAATTATAATATAATTTTCCGTAATTATAAAATCCAAATTTTATTTTATATTTTTATGTACAAGTTTTATTCGATTAAATTAATTTTTATATATTATAATAGTATAGTTTTTAAAATTTTGAAATTAAATTATTAAAAATCAATTTAAAATCTAGTTAATTTATTTCTTATTATAAATCCGTCATTCTAGAAGAGTATTTGAATATTCAATACAGATTATAAATCTGTATTAACAAAATTAATTATAATTATTAAATAATTAATTATATTTTTAAATTATAATTCTTTATTATATTTTTTAATAAAATAATTATAATGTATCTTTTTTATTTAAACTTTATTATAAACAGATGAAATTAATTAATGATAGAACATATACTGTTTTGGAAAAATATGACACGTAAGAGAGTTTTAAATATTTACGAAAAAATTATAAATTTTCTTTGTATTATGTTATATTTTTTATCAATCAATTCACCAAATTCTATATCCAAGATCAATAACAACGATTTTTAAATAGTTTTTAAATTACTAAATCAATATATATTAAATATATTTGAAAATGTAGTGATAATATAATTTAATTACCTTTATGAATTTTATACAAGTTATTAATATAAGATCTAATTATGTTTTTAATTGCTATCCGAACAAATATTTTAATTTGATTAATTAATAAAATAATTTTTAATATTTTATTAACGCCGATGAATAGTCTGTTTTATATAAACTACGAGTATTTACTTTACATGATCTAAGTTTGACTCCATATAAACACTAAGATAAACAATTATATCATTTCTAATTTAATTTAGTTCGTCTGCAAATTATATTCCTTAATTCAGATATGTAAATATAAAAATGTAGTTTACAGTTATATAATGATTATATATTTTACAAATTATCACGGATTATTACATTTTGCTACTATTCTATATAGTAAAACAGATTTGTTATGTCCCAAAAAATAAAAATTACTTTATGTTTAATTTCAGAATTTCATTTAAATTATAAAATAATTCCATTCTTATATTTAAAAAAAGAAAAATTTATTAGTCATTATAAAAACTTTCACTTACAATATACTTATTTCGTATTGTACATATTAAAGTGTATATTTAATAGATAAATATTAAAGATACATACATTATACATAAATTAGTAAAGTAAACATAATTGTAAAGTAAATATTCGACAGTTTTTATTTAATAAAATAAGCAAGTACTATTGTTTATCATAGCTACAAATTCGATTATTAAGTTAAAATAGTTGTATTATTGATTAAGCTGTTATATATATCATTAATACAATAAATACATAATGCATATATACATAATAATAATGGTAAATTAAATTAATAAGATAATTCTATCATTTGATTTTACATAGAAAATTTAGAAATTCGATAAAATAATGAAAAATTTCTGAACATATGGTAAATAATTTTTTGTATACTTTATTAAAATAGAAATTAGACAAAGTAGAAAATAAGAGGCTTCTAGAAATCATTTACATACGTAAGCATTTATCTATATATAACAAATTAGATGCTAAAAAATATGTTATATAAAAAAAGAGCAACATGAAGAAGGCAGAGATAAAAACTGAAAAATAAAAATAGAAGAACAGGTGAAGTTTTCTTTCTCCTTACTGGCTGAGTATACGTGTAGTGATTCGATGAACATCTCCATCGTCCGGGTTCCAACTTACCTATCTCTAGAAGGTAGGCGTGTCCCAGGTACGCGTGGGTGGTAAGGCGTGGCTTAGCTTCATCTGTGATTGGAGCGTCCGTTGGTGTCCACCGGAAGTGGGGGTAAACTCAAACGATGTAAAAACAATATCACATCTCCTTGCAACAAAAACCTGCCAGGTGGCTTTTCTCCCTGTACTTCAGGGTTAATGTCTCTTCTACACGGTTTAAATTCTCTCTCTCTCTCTATTTCTCTTTATATCTTTCTGTCAGTCAATTCTGTCTTTATATATGTATTTTGTAACCATGGTAATTTTAACTACATATGTGCATGTGTCGTTATTCTTTGTTTCAAGCACCTTTCGCTTATTTGTACAAGCCTTTATGAGAAATTATTTTTCATTTTTTTGGAACTTCTCAATCTACAGGATCTTTTATAAGTATCAACTCCATACTTTTATTATCTTTGTTTTGGATAGTATAAACTACTTATGATGAAACAGTATGATTATTTTTTATTATAAATTATGATGATTTACACTTCAATTCAACCAATTATAATAATGTATTACTCTCGAATATTCTAATAATTAATAGTTCATTTTACTCATTTAATAGATCTTATAGAAAAAAAAATAAAATGAACAATTTTCTAAAGTTTTTAAGTAATTTAATTATATGAATTTTAAATAATTAACCAAATTTTAAAGAATATATTGAAATTTTATACAATTTATACTTTTTTATAATATAAAAATATAATAGGAAGAATTATATATTAATAACATATTTTATAATAATATAAATAATATAAATTATAAAATAGCAAATTAATTAAAATGCTATTATTATATTGATAGTACATTATTATTT